CATGTTCATCCTCTATGATATGAATATTTGACAATTAGCCATATTGTTTTTTAAAATGTTGTTTTCCTCTTCCCTTCCTTAGCTCCATCTGTGTTTTTCCTCATCCTCCTGTAACATCTGATTGTAGGAGTATCCCTCCAAGTCTGTAAGAATTCCCGGGAGTTGTCTCATCCATCTCCTGACACTGTACTCCTGTGATCGGCCTCTCTCTTGCAGGCCTGTCTCATTTTGTCTGAATTTGGAGCCATCTCATCTCTTGATATTTTCACTGTCACTCTGAGCATGCCTTGCCTTAATCTGTTCCTGAAGCATCAGCTGTGGCAAGCCTGTCAGAGTAAAGCTACAGGACTCTAGATCCTGCATGATCTGCAGTGATGGTTTTTAGCACTATATGTATGTGTGATTCAAAAACTGGTCTCTCTGTAATTTGTAGAAGTTTTTGTTTGTTTGTTTTGTTTTTTTAACCTGGAAGACTTTAATTAAATATTTTTTTAAATGGAAACATGAATTTGTTTTAATGATTTTGCTTAAGAGTTCAAGAGATCCTGTTTTCCCAGAAGTGGTGATCAAAGTGAAGTGTAAGCATGAGATGTTTGTTTCAAAAGTTTAGCAAGCTGTAGTAAAATGTGCCAAATCTGTATAGCTCCCAGATGGTCAGTAGCACATCTGAAGAGAGCAGTTTTAGTACTTCAGGGGAGCTATAGGATTTCATATGCTGTTAAATAAAAATTGGCAAGATCCATCAAATTTTAAACACTGAAGCCATCGTAGTTGTATCCAGTTCTCAATAATTTATTCCTTTTTATGGTGTTGCAATAAAGTGGAGAAAACGATAAGTTCTGGTTATAGTTGTGTTATTTTTTGTAGTGACGTGTACTATTTTACTGAAATCACTGGGAGCAGATAAAGTATGCTATATGTCTATACTCACATAAATAGTAATTCAATTCTTCAAGATACGATAATCTTAAAAATGCTTTATATTACTCGAGTTTAGATGTTTGGTTACAATGTATGTACGTATTAGGGTTTTAATTTTGCTGGAAATACTAATTTGATATGCTATAAAATCAAGATATGCCCATTATTAATATTCTGTGACTTCTTTACTGCTACATTAGTTTTTGTACTAAAAATTAATGGGTCTGTTGTAAGATTATATTTTGCTTAAAATTTGTTTTCATTTAGTCAAGAGAGAATAATATTTCATCTTAAATCATGTATCACTGAAGTTGCTGATGTCTCAGTATCGTTATAATCCTAAGGTACCCCAGAAGATTTTCTATTCCAACTTCTGCTCAAAGCAAAGTCAACTAGAGCAAGTTGCGAAGGACATTGTCTAGTTGAGTTTTAGATACTTCTAATGATGGAGCTATGTTTAAACAAAATTTCCTGTGCTTTAATTTGTGCCTGTTGCTTCTTGTCTTGTCACTGGGCATAGCTGAGAAGAGTGTGTTTCCATCTTTACTCCCTGTCCCCCTTCCAAATAGAGTATTTTTACACTTTGATGAGATTTCCCTTGAGCCTTCCCTTCTCCAGGCTGCTTAGTCCCATCTTTCTCTGCCTCTCCTTATATGACAGATGCTCCAAGCCCTTATTTTCATGGCCCATTGCTGGACTCACTCAAGTATGTCCATATCTCTCATACTGGGCAGCTCAGAACTGGACACAGCACTCCAGATGTGATCTCACCAGAGATGAGGTAGATCACCTCTCTGTCTGCTGGTGATGCTGAGGCAGCTCAGGATGCTCTTGGGCTTCTTTGCTGCAAGGGCACATTGCTGACTCATAGTCAACTTTTTGTCCTCAGGACTCCCAAGTCTTTCATCCACAAAGCTGCTTTCTGGTCAGCAGGCCCCCAGCCAACTGGTGCTTGGGAGTAATCTCCACTTTGATAAATATCAGAGGATTCTGAAGAGGATTTCTAGCATCATCAGTGGGTGGATCTGCGATTTTTGACACTCATTCTTGTTTAAGAGATGTTATTTTTGATTAAAGTTATTTTAATTTTTGAAGTGCTAGGTTTCATATCCCTTTTTCTGAAGGGACATAACATTCAAAGGCATGTTACTGTGCATCAGCTGTGCCATAGCATGTATTCTGAACATGTGTGCTCTCCATATTAAGCATATGGGAAGAAGTTCAGGAAGAGTTCAGTGGAAGAGCGTTAAACTAAAATTGGCTACTTCAATTTTGCCAGCCATGACATGGCAGTTTTTGCAGTTGAGCTGATGCATACAAGCTTGTTAAGAGCTTGTTAACCTGCTCGGCACTCAACTGTATGTGAGCTTATTTACTTGCTGAGAAAAGATATGGAATAGCAAATGGAATGCTCATTAAACTTGTGTTAATTAAACCCAAAGCAGATGTCATACTAAAATTTTGCTTTTCCCTCTCATTATAATGGTAAAAGTCCTATACAGTTCAGCTCAAAAAAAATACTGAGAGACTGTAAAATGATCTATTTTTTAACTATTTTACGACACTACTCCTGTCACTTAATTTCACTCAATTTCACTCACTTAATTTCAGCCAAGGTTTATGGTTTTCCTAAAACATTTACTGGAACATTGGCTTTACAACTGTATCTTATGTCCCCAGGCAACTTTTTCAATAAGGCATTTGATATTTAGTACAGTATATAAACTTTTCCTTTGAAAGAATGAGGCAGAAAATTCTTTGATTAATGGACTATCTATATAGAAAGGAATTTTTTCCTGAATTTGCATTACTAGAGCAAAGAACATGGCTTAGTTTCTCTTAATAAGAACAATGTCTTTAGTGTTTCCTGGAAGACCAATGGAAACTTTTTTTTTTTCCTGAGTAGTTAAAAAAATAGAACAGTCATGTTTTATAAGACTGTCTTCTTAAGGAAGTATATGCACTGAAAAGATGAATATTTCACAGCAGCGTGGATGTCTCCACACTGCAAACTGGTAGTCAGCAGTCAATCTTTTTGAGCAGGTGGTTCAGCGTGTACCTGCAGACAATATTCCTTCTCCAGCCCTCTTCTGTTTTGTTCTTAGTCCTGGGAAGTGATTCCTGCATTCTGCCATCACTTTTCTTGGATGGCGCTTTCTGAGGCTCACAGGCAGAGTAACTTACTGTTCATACACAGAACACACATAGCACAACATTTCTGTGAATGGACAACCTCTTTTCCCTTGCTCATCTTTATTCTGTTGGCAGACTCTTAACAAATTGACAGCAAAACTCAACAAGATTTGGGGGAAATATTTGCTTATATTTGGTGCTCTCTTCAGAGGTAGCTTGTTCTCACTATGAGTTTTTATATGGTTCAGATTGACACTTCGAGCAATGATGTCTCCCTCTGTAGAAGTAAACATGAAGATTCCTGAAATGCACCTTTTGTCTTGTATCTTTCTGTTTCCAGAATGCCAGTGTTCTTTGCTGTCTGGTTACTGGATGTCATTACTGTATTTGCTTTGTTTTCCAAAATCGTCTTTTTCTAAACTGTTTTGCCACGCTTACAATATTGTGCCTTACAGCGTGGCCAGGACATCACCTAGCTGAGCTGAGGACTTGCTTACTCACGTAGGTTTTATTGCACTACATGTGTGCTAGGTCTGGAACAAAACTATTATCTTGTACTCAAAAAGTAGTCTTGCTGACTAAATGACAGCCTAGTGCTTCTACTGACACACGTAGAAAATGTGGTGATGTTTCCATTAGCGTGAGCACCTGCCCATGGGGAATGAACTGAGGTGACAAGCGTACAGCTGGTGGCTAAACTTTGAGGAAATGTGAAAAATTACTGAAACATCCTTTGGTGTTTAATTTGAATGCTAAACATACTTATCAGTGTCATTTGCAAACTAATAATACCTGAATTGTATTAAGAGTTTGACTTCAGTTGCATTGTTTTTACAAAATGTTCTTCTATTCCAAGTTGGTTCAGAACTTAATGAAGTCTTTATGTGACTGCTCTGGAAAACCTGGAGGTGTAATAGAAGCTAGAGGACATAAAAACTGGGAAGGGAAAGGGAAGGAAGAATGGGGAGTAGGGGAAGATGAAAACTGTTTCCACATGAAGTGTGTGTGAAAATTACTTTTGTTTTATCTATACTGTATTAAAATTGCAGTGTATGTATCTATCCAGAGTAACTGTTTTCATACCTTTGCATTGAAAGTAATATAAATATAGGAGTTCCTATGCAGTTCCATAACAAAGGTGGATTTTGAAACAGATTCATAGAACTTGTGGCACCCCACAGGCTCGTTAATGTTAATCTGAGGCCACCTTCAGGGTTGAAAGACTGCACCTCTGTAACTGCATCTTATTATGCTGTTAGAGTTCTTCAGTATGGTTCAGAACCCTAGTATGCATTTGTCGAAGTTTTACCTCTTTGTTCAAGACAAAGACATACTTTTTTTTTTATTTTGTTCAGCTCTTCTGTGCTCTTCAGTTCTCTAGGGAAGGGCAATCAGTATATGATGAAGCTATTGTATACCTTCCCAAAGTTGAGTGATTTTGTTGTAAATGTTTACTTTCAACTTCCTTCTTATGTTTGTATACCAGAGTTACTCAGATGTCTTTAGTATCTTATAGTATAGAAATGCAGGAGGGCAAGTCCTACATTTCAGCCTTTTTAGGCTAAAATTTAGAAATTTAAATGATGACTGTAGCAAGGCATGTCGGGTTCAGATTATATTTCTTTATGCCTGACTAAGGATGATTTTGACAATGAGGGGGACTGGACTCAGTTCAAGATTTCTAGTTTTAAGGTGTTGCTTTGCCATAAGTTTCCTGTGTTGCCTTGTAAATTCAGTTGAGCCCAGTTATACAGTAGTACTTAGCATCCATTTGGTCAGAACAAACAGCCAGTTCTTCAGAACAGTTCAGCATGTCTTATAGGGAAGTGGTTAGAAAAATTATTAATACTAATGAGATGCCATAGCACTTTATTTAGGACAATGTCAGGATATAAATATCTACTATCTTTAAATATAGTGAGACTGTAATATTGTTTTGACTACAGGTACCGAGAGGCTATTCACAAGTGGGATGAAGCACTTCAGTTAACTCCAGAGGATGCTACACTTTATGAGATGAAATCACAGGTAAAGCATGACAATTCTTTTTCAGTTTAGAAATTAAAAAATAAAACATTGTGCTTGTGAACAGATACTGTGCAACATTGTGCAGTTGTTGTGCACGTAAACTACAGCATGACTTTTCATGTTTTTTTCAAGTTTTAATTTTTCCCAACACGACAGGGTAGCTTTTAACAGGAATTAAAATAATGCTGTTATCCTAGCCAATTACAATAAATAATGTTTTGTTAGACATGAATTAAGACGGTACAATGTAGAAAAAACAACTGGAATATTGAAAAATTATATTGGGAGAAGCAGAGAAAGCCTTATTGTGATAAATTAGCAAATTTAACCATTGAAAATAAGCCTATTTTTTCTAAAAAGTTGACTTAATACTATGAACATTAAACAGGGATACTGTATGCAAAAGATATGCTCCAGTCTGTTTCCATATTGAGTATTACGTAGATAAATTAGTCTTGGAAAAAAGCACTAAACAGAGTATACTTACTAGTCAATTCATCTAAGCCTTTATTCTAAAGCAGTTTTGAGGAAAAAGGCTTGCAGCCATCACTATTTCACTAAATTTGTAAGATCAGATTGTAATTTCAGCGTGTCTTTGCGTGACTTGGGTGGCAAAAGTACCAGGATGCATTATTTTATTCGGATGGGGAAGCTTTTTGTCTCCATCTGTATGCAAAGGTACAAAAATACATTATATTTTTCTCCTGTATTCTCTCTTCTGCAAAAGTGATTTTAATTTAGATTGAACATGAGAACAAGAAATGTATGGCTTCTTTAAACCAGCTGGATAGATTAGAATGGGAAGGATTATTTTTAGGAAGGTAGCTACTCAAAATATGGCTGAAAAATACATCATCTGAATTTAGGAGATAGGAAAAGAGAAAGTGAAATCATGGTACTTCAATGAATATGTTACGTAACTTTTAGGAAGCTTACTATATTGTTTATTTTTAAAATCTTAGTTGTTATTGTAATTCTTTTCTTGTATAAAAAATTAAACAACCTTTCCTTCCTCCCCACCCAAAAAAAACCCCGACAAAACAACAAACCAAACAAACCCACAAAAAAATACAAACCCAAGAAATCCGCCAACAAAACCCATGAAGCAAAGCTGACTCTTTTCCAAGGTGTGGTGACTGCTTTTTTTTTTTTTCCTGGATGCTATCACATCTCCTCCTCACAGTTGTGTTGTCTGTGAAGTGAAGAAAGTTTGATTCTGCAGAATAATGCATTGAATAATCATAAGCTCATTTCAGTACAGTAACGCTGAAGGAGGCTTTGGTTTTATATAGCTGCAGAAGGTTTAGATCTTATTTGATTTGAGAAAAACTTCATGGCTTTAAAGCTTTTTTTTCCTGAATTATTTTGGGAGAAGTGTATTGTTGGATTGCTTTGTCAACATATCAAGTGTATATAAGGGATCCAGATAGACTGTGTTAGGAAAGATTCAAGGAGGGTTGTGTATGAGAGATTGATTTCTGACTTGGTTCGTTAATTTGAATGGTGTTGGTGATAAGATGCAGTAGTTGTTTTTACTCTAAATAGCTGAATTTTTCTAGTGCATTTCTCTCATCCTATAGCCTAAATGATGCTGAAAAGTAGGCATTTGTTCTCTTCACTTTCTTCTCGGCAGACTAGATTTGTAGTCAATTATTTCTTTGTAATTTCTAAACCAGGAGGTGTATATCTTTTTAGAAAGAAAAAATAAAAAAATCTCTTCATGCACGTTGTCCAAACTTTATGGAAATTCTGCACTGGCACTTTCTCTTAACTTGGCCATGCTTAGGATCCGATCTATATGTTATTTAGATAGCATATTAGCATTTACTCCTTGTGGTTTTAGGCTGATCCAGCAACTAAAACTCACACAGTCTCTCCTTCTCCAGTAAAGTAGAGAGGAGAGAAAAAAAACTCCAAAGGGACTGAGGGTTGAGACAAGAACAGAGGGAGCACCCACCAACCATGGTCCTGGGCAAAACAGGCAGAGCTTTTCTCAAAGCAAAACAGTTTATTAATGATTACTTAGAAGGACGAAGGGAAACAAAAACCGATTACTTGAGAGGACAGAAAGAAACAAAACCAGATCTTAAAACCGACACCTTCCCCCCCCCTTCCTTTTCCTCCCGGCTCTACCTCCTCCCCCCAGCAGCACAGGGGGCAGGGACTGGGGGAGTGCAGGTCAGTTCATCCCATGTTGTTACTGCTGCCTCTTTCTTAAAGGAGGAGGAGTCCTTACACCCTTTTCCCCTGCTCCAGTGGGTCCCCTACCCATGAGGAAAAATCCACAAACTTCTCCAGCGTGAGTCCAGCCCACTTGAAACAATCCTTCCCCACAGATTGCTCCAGTGTGGGCTTTACCACAGTCTCGGATGCTTAGGGAGCTGTAGCCACTCGCTCCAGCGTGGGTCGTCACGCAGACTTCAGATGCCTCTCTGCCTTGTCGTGTGTCCCAACACGACCATGCTCAGGCTCAGGCATCTTCTCCCCACGGGCTGCGAGTGGGTCTCTGCTCCACCGAGGCCGTCCTGGTTGCAGGGGGCCGCCTGCTATCTCACCATCAGCCGCAGGGGAAACTCGGCTCCGGCACACCTCCTCCCGCTCCATCCTCACTGACCTGGTGTCGATGTGGCTGTTTCTCTCAGATCTCAGTCCTCTCCAGGTGAACTCAGCCCAGTGGGCACCCCGGGAGTGGGGTGCCCCCGAGTTCCCCAGCTGGCTCCGCCACCGCCATTCTCCGTGGGCGGCGCCGGCCCGACACAGGCAGCTGCCCGGCTCCTACATACTTCTAGAGTTCTATGGTAACAAAACATCTTAAACTTTTAAGCTCCATTGAATATTTACTTGTATTTAGATGTCTTTACATCAATGCTAGCTTAAATAAAAGACTTTATAGCAGCCTTCCAGTACTTCAAGGGGGCCTACAGGAAAGCTGGAGAGGGAATTTTTACAAGGGCATGTAGTGATAGGACAAGGGGAAATGGCTTTAAACTGAAAGAGAGTAGATTCAGACTAGACTTGAGGGAAGAAATTCTTTACTCTGAGAGCGGTGAGGCACTGGAACAGGTTGCCTGGAGAACTTGTGGATGACCCATCCCTGGAAGCGTTCAAGGCCAGGTTGGATGAGGCTTTGAGCAACCTGATCTAGTGGAAAGTGTCCCTGCACATGGCAGGGGGTTGGAACTAGATAATCTTTAAGGTCCTTTCCAACTCAAACCATTCTATGATCTATCTAGCCACTTCCAGCAGTGGATGGCTGGGGAAGAGTCATACAAATGGTACAAGCATGTAGCAGGACTTCCTCCATGACTTTGCCCAGCCTCCAGCAAGCTTTGGCCCTTCTAAACTTCTCTGTGTTTGAGAGATTTTTCTTCAACAGTTTTGTCTCATTACTTTCTGCTCTTGTGTAAACTTTTAGCATCTGCAGAGCTATGTGCCAAGGAGTTCCAAATCTTAATATGCAGTATCGGAAGTTGGAAGTATTGGAAGTTGTGGAAGAGGCAGAATAATAGAATTCTTTAATAAGCAGCTTTCCAGGTTGCTGTAAAGGTTGTTAACTTATGTAGCTGTACATTTGTGCATTTAATTTTTAACTCCACTTGTAAAGAAATTCTGATAAGACGTGAAAATGGTATGAGTCCTAGAGTTTTTTTTTTACTGTAGTTTAAAAGATTTAGCTCTATTTTGAATAAAACAGATCACCTAGTAGGATTTCTTCTAGGTTGGAAGGAAATAGTTCATGTCCAATGCTGGCTCTTTAACACAGGATGTTTTTGAAGTACCCTTTATTTTGCAATTAGAATTTCTTTTTTTGACTTAAAGTCAAGAGAAAGCTGTTGAAAAGGACAGTTATGCTCAGTGGGACAAATTAACGAATAGCTCTCTTGTAACAGTTCTTTATTATGGTCTTATGTGAATACGGGGAATTAAGCTAGCTCTCCCAAAGTATTCTAATAGAAATAGATTAAAATTAAATATTTTCACAGTGGAAATAACAGGAGAACAAGGAATTACGTTAGCTTACTAGGATCAAAGCTATGATACAGTGACTTAGGCAAACGGTTGCTTACTACAACATCCTTCAATCAGTGCTCTAGCTGCAATACTTAATACTGAGGGCTGTTTGCTTAGTCAGCACCTGAGTCCCTGTAATTCAGCTGAATGGTAAAAGGTGAGTTGGAGGAATAAGGCACACAGCTTTCCTGTTGACCAGGAGGAGCTGAGAAACCAGCTGTGTGACTCTGATTTGTCTTGTAAAATGTCTTTGCCTGTCTAATGAAACCATTGGAGAGTAATGAAAGCTGGAAGAATAAAGGAACCCAAGCCTCTGCCTCCAGCATGCCTTTGCTTACTTTCTTTCGTGAAGAGGAGAGCAGTGCCGGGCAGTTACACATTTTCCCTGTGCTTCCACTATCTGATACTGCATAACACTTCTGTTACACTGTGAATGAGAACACAAGAAAAGTTTACGTACAAAATATGCATTTATAAAATAATTTCTTGAATCCTTTTAACAAAACCTCTAATCTTTAATTGGTAACATCTCTCCAGTACACGCAAATAACTATTACAGATGTTTTTTTGTGGTATGACTTAGGCTTACTGGAAGTTTATTAGCATGATGTGTAATTTGATACCTTTGTACTTTTAAAAGCACTAATGTGAGCTGTAAAAATCTGTTTCTGCCAGGTTAGGAATACGTAGTTCATTCCAAAAATATTGTGGTCAATATTTAAATGATACTGTCTTAAAGCTGACTATATGATTCCAGTCCAGCATACCAGCACAAATACTGCAGCTATTATTGTGTAGCTAAATGAGAAAGTTTTGGTAGCTTCACATTTCAAAGAACATTGTACATCAGCTTCAGTAAGGGCTTGGCCACCGCTGGGCCTATGAAAATCTGCCTGTCTTGGTACGTGAGTCACATACTAGAGGTGGTGATTCATGTTAAGGATGAGGAGGGCGACGAATATGATCCAAGGGCTGGAACACCTCTGCTA